ATGTAGTACATACACGAAATGTGTAATATACAAAATACAAAGTTTTTTTTATAAATAAACGCATTTATGTAATATGGGGAGAACCAATCACCAATTTTTTTATTTTAAAATTTTTATTGCAAATTGTGCCTAATACATTCGGGTACAATTTCCAGTAGAAATCTCGAAATAAAAAAATGATGGTTGGTTCCCCATATTGCATATAACTATATGTCCAAATATCAGAATATTTAGTTCAGAAAGTAGTGTTCACGCTTCACAGTTATATATCCCAATACGCATTATACTATTAATAATACTAAGGCGCATCGTCGGATAAGATCAGAAGAAATTAAATGCCTCCACCGAGGGCATTTAGTTCTCTTCGCAACGCGGACACCGAGTTTATCGAAAACGCACCTGAGAGACGTTTGCCTTTTTAATCTCATGAGAATACATAGAAAAGGCATAGAGTCGAGAAAGGGCTCAAGAGGTAGCTTGACAAATGAAGAGGACGGCATCTCTTTGAATCGGACAGCTGTAAAAGAGGCCTCCGACGAGACGCCGAATCCGACCAAGCAACATATAGGTACGTTTGTTTAATACAGAACTCATAGTGTCGATTATGGAAAAAAGGAGGAAAAAAAATGTTAACGAGCCGGATGCGGCCAACAAACGGCAGGAAGGTTAAGGCGAACCGAATCCGGCCGAGAGCTCGATAGGTCGACAGGACCTATCGAGGAATCGGACGGCGGACGATCGACGGAAAAAGACATTGCTGCGTCAGCCTGATAAAATCTCGAATATTGTGGCGTGTATCATTACGCGGCGTACGAACATACTTTTACGTCTCGCACTGTCTTTGCGGCTGTCACGATAATTACCGGTGACGATCATTGCCAGTGTCTCTACCGTTAATGAATCGATAAAGACACCGCTGTCTTGTATGCACGTTTGTCTGGTTCACGCTTTCATGCTGGGCTTTAAAGGCGTCCGTCGTCTCTATAGCGAAGAAGTTTACAATTATAAAAAGCATAAGACATAAATGTTTATCTGAAGGCAGTATGTTGAAGTTTAGAAGTCAATAACACAACTGTGTTACAAGTTGAATTTAGGGTGAACTTGAAGGAAATTTGACTGAAGATAATTCATTTCAAACAATGAGTATTTAATGTTAAATTTTTCGAATTTTTAAAATAAATAAAACTGAATCGAGAAAAAAAATATTTTTGAGAATACTGAGAGGCGATTTATATTAATTTTTTACGAGATTAACATGGGAGCTAAATATAATAATTTTCCATTGCACCCTACTACTTCTACGCCCCTGCCTTTCTCCGGTGCTTTCACGTGGACCTCCACAAAGTGTCATTAGTCATCGCGGCAACATTTCTCCGGAGACTCGAGAAAGGGGACGCAAAACTATTCTACCCACTTGTTCCGCAAAGAAAACGGCGGTAAAGGTGTTTATGGTAATCTTAGCGAGATACCCAGCAAGGTGTCCCGTCGTTACGACTATTTTTCAGTTACTTCAATATCTTTAGCTAGAATCTTCAAAAAAAATGAATGATCGACTTCTAAATCCTTTGTGATACAATCTAACAATGAAGGAGTTTATGATCTATACGCTCGAATCTGCTAGCAAGAAAATATAGTTTCTTTTCAATTAGTACTCATTAAAAAAACAATATTAATTTTACTTTATTTTTACAATTTAAATGATTCATATAGAGCTTGAGATTTACGACTTAGAATTCATATATGAAAAAGAAATATTATGATGCAAAGTAAATGAAGATTTGCGAAACTCTTGATTAGAATTTCTTTAATAACGCAAAGGATTAAAAATAAACAAATAAATGACTAATGAAAATCTCTAATATTAAATATATGATCTAATAAAGTAAATGTATCTCATTTGACAACATAAATAACAGATGTTTATTTTTATCATGCTTTTAGGTTTTTTGCAATAATTTCCGACACTGATAAATTATGTTGAAAATAATATTATTGACTTCGTGTATATATATATAAATAAGACTATCACAGATCGATGTTATGATGATATATATGTGCGAAAGTATTGTAGTTTTCAACGTCCGTGTAGGGAACGAGACTTGACACATTGACAAGTACGTGACACGAGACCACCTCCGCTACAACCGAGATGTGTATCTTGTTTGTTATCTTGTGGCTACCACACTTTGTCAAGACAAATCAGATTGAGCTTAAAGGAGGATCCCGATCGACAGACAGGAGACATTCCTGATTCTCTAGCAAAGGAAATAGGCTTATTTTTATCCAACATATATGTTTCGTATAAATTTGATCGAGATCAATAATCATATTACGATCAAGCGCTAAATTATTGATGCGAGTCACATCGCATCGTAAAAATTATAGGACAATGCAAATGAATGAAGGAATCTACGTTAACATTTACATTCTAGCGCCATCTAGAACCATACGAGTGAAGAGTAAATACATGGAGTTGAATGAAAGCTTTGATGTGATACCGACTATTCACAAATCAGAAAGTAGCAAAAGATAGCGCTACCAGAAACAATGTCGAAAGATATGAAATACAAAATAGTTTACAAATAATTGCTAATACAAAATAATAAAAATAATAACAGAACTGTAACTTACAATTGAATTTAGAGCGAAAGCAATATAACAAAGTGAAATTAAATGCTTAATAAAAATAAAATCTGTTAAAAATAAACAAAAACTAAAAAGAACGAATTTGGTAGTATATTTTATATGCAAATAAAGATTGCACTACTATATTGCAAAAATATATCTTGTGTATACAGAAATGAGTAAAAATATATATGACGCCAATAATATCTATATTCATCTATCAATTTCTGTGATAACATTTTTCATATAAAGCTAGATTGTATAGAGAAAACACGATAAATCTAACAAGTATATTATAAATTTCATACTGCAAAGTCATTATTTATGACATATGTTTATAATTGATATAGAAAAGATGATACAAATTAACGTATAGTCATCTTTTCAGTGTTTTCTTAATATCCGTCTAATGAGATATTATTTTCTACGAAAAATAGTACAAAGCATCGTAATATTAATATATCTCAATCTACTAATATATTGTTAAATTTTTTTATATTGCGAATAATTACATTTACTTAAATGTTTATATTTCTTTTATAATTTTCTTCCATCGATATGTGTGAAGTCAATTGTAAATTTGTTTTATTTATCACAATTTTTTTCTTCTCAGTTAAATTCATAATTAGATAAAATAAAAACTCTCTGTATTCGAATTATCATTTATAATGTAATTCAAATACTTTTTTATTGGCAATAGAGAAATGTGAGCAAAATAAGAATGAATGCAGTGGTTTGTTCTCAAGATAAATGTGCGTACGTGGCTACATAATAAGCTTAATGAATCATTGATTAGTTTCCTGATGTGCGTATCTGACTAGTATATCTAAAACCTCATGTTGCATGTGATAGTAAAATTTAGCATGAAAAATTAATGAAAATTTTGATTCATCTATCCAAGATATATGATCATATCATACGTATGCTGTACATAATAAAAGTTTAATAATAGTTTAATTTTATTTATTTACGAATTTTCAATCAGTAAATATAATTATTCCGTCATCGATACGTTATTTAATCATATGAATCATATATATGTATATTACACTATAAATATAATATTATTATATAAATGCACGTTTAATAGTTATTTCGAAATAGTTCTATAATATACGTGGTAAAAAGAATTATCTATCACAAATGACATACAAATAGAAATTCGTTTTTAATTAAGATCCTAAGTATACGTAACTTATTGTACACAAAATTGCAAACGCGTTGTTATTGATAAATGTCAAGCAGAATAAAAAAAAATATTCTGAATAATTCTGCGTTGAGCATCATGTAAATAAGTATATTACGCTTGAAATACGTGTACACAAGATATGCACAATGCTATAAATTCGATATCGTTTCGCGACGAGTTTTATTTGATATGATTAAAGTTGCTCGATTATCTAAACGAGATAAAGAGATACAAAGTAAACGTGACTTCAAATTCTGTATCAATCATTACATAATTTTCGATAGTTAAATAATGATAGACATCGGATAGTAGATGTAGATCCACAGAAATAATTAGTTGACTTGCATCATACTATGATCGTGAATTGTGTTATCTATTGGTATTACCGAGAGATATATTATTAATAAATTGCGAAGAGACTTTAGGTTTCAGAACAGAGAGCACGACTTTGGCGCCAGTGTGAAAGTATGTACATTTCAATGTCAAGGAATTCAGTGACGTGGCGACAATATACAAAGTACTCATAGTCTCTAAATTTTACTAATATTACAAATATCTTATCATTTGATCGATAGACGATACTCTTGGCATTTATGCACTAAAAATATTATACAATTAGAAATAGAACAAGTATTTAAAATTGATTTCGGATTTTAATATAAAGTATTTCTTTTCGATTTTACGCAGAAAAACGCCTAAAAAAAGATTTTTAGAAACGTTGGCAAAATTAAAATAAGCGGAACGAAATATTGTAATATTTTTTTTTTGAACATAAAAAACGTTAATATTATCCAGATTTATGTCGGATACGTATGAAAATATTAATATTGTTAAAAAATTACACCTTCGACGAAAGAATTAAAAACACGAGTCTTGTAATTTATAATAATAAAGAAAAGAGAAAAGATGTGAATGACGGAAACAAGCAATTGGTTTTCAGCTACCAAGAAACTTGCGCAGACACGTGATTATCATGTTTCGCATTTGAAGTTTCTTTACAGCCAGTTTTTGCTGTCAGAATAAGACATTTATTACATATTCGATTGTGATAATGGATAATAGATCACTTGATGTGCACAATTATGAAAAACGATGGAAATAGAAAAGCTTTCATATGCTGAACGATCGCATACACAAATTTTGAAGCGAAATTGACATCATACGGAATTGAAAAACAATTATCAATTACATGCAATTTCGGGAACAACGCGACAACAGCGCTACGAGACCAACTTGTTTGTGGCTTAAGAGATCACGCGACGAAAACATTGTTATTTCGAGAGGAGAACTTAACGTTCGATAAGGCATTCAAGTTAGCGACAACAGTAGAATCGGCAGAAAAAAATGCTAGCTCTACAAGTAGACCAAACGGAGAGTCGTCGAAAGAAACAGTAAATAAATTTCAAGGAAATTCAGAGAATAATCGTCAGTTCCAGTCACGGGGCAAGGGGTCAAACCGAGGTAAGCAAGGGAGCCCACAGCATAACAATAATACACGACCAGGGGTCAAAGATAAGCGGACGACAAACATAAACCAAGAACGTTCTTCTTCATGTTACTGCTGCGGAAAAAATAATCACTGGGCACGTGATTGTTACCATCGCTTCAACACGTGTAATATCTGCAAGCAGAAAGGACACTTGGCTTCAGTATGCAAAACCGGAAGAGCAGTCCAGCATATACAGCAGGGTACAGATGACCACGAGGAACAGCAACGGGACGAGTACGACTTCTTCATGGCAACAGACGGCAACGACTCATCAAAAACAACAAGCGGTAAATTATACTATAAGGACCATGTAAATGATGTAGAAGCGGAACCAATGTATATGAGTATGATGATTAACGGAAAAAGGATAGAAATGGAAATTGATACAGGGTCATATGCGGCGATAATTTCAAAAAAAGATAGAGAATTGTATTTCCCGAACTGTGAAGTCAAAGCAAGCAAAGTACCGTTGAAAGCATATGGCAAAGTGTTGTTAGAACATGAAGGTATACTTGATAACTTAGATGTTAGGTTAGGTAAACAAAGAGCAACACTTCAAATGCGAGTAATGACGAGAGACGGTCCTATATTAATTGGTAGACACTGGTTGAAAGTTTTTGGGTTGTGGCCTTTCGAATTAAAGAAAAGAGTTGAATTTTGCAACAAAATTAACTTAATGAGCGTAACAAAAGATTTCACATCTAAATATCCAAAATTATTCGGTAAAGGACCAGGTTTATACAATAAAGGAATGCTGAAACTAATGGTAAAAGAAGGTACGAAACCTGTGGCACTAAAAGCGAGACATTTACCATTCGCGTTGGCAAGTAAAGTTGAAGATGAGATAAACAGACTAGTAAGATTAGGTCATTTAGAGAAAATCGATGTCAGTGAATGGGCAACACCGATTGTCCCGGTAATAAAATCAGACGGATCTGTTAGAATTTGTGGAAATTTTAAACTAACGTTAAATCCCAGCTTGATTAGAGACAGGCACCCAATACCATTAATCGACGAGATTTTTGTAGCGTTAAGAAACGGTAAAACTTTTTCACAGATTGATCTGCAGCACGCTTATATGCAGATCCCGGTAGAGGAAAGCAGTCGAGATTTCCTGACAATAATAACGCACAAAGGTCTCTACCGGTACACAAAAATGACGGAAGGAATTGCATCAGGTCCAGGAGATTTTCAGCGGAAAATAGAGCAGTGTCTATCAGGCATCGATGGTGTAATTCCTTATCTAGACAATATTTTTGTAACGGGAGAAACCGACGAAATTCATTTAAAAACATTGTATATGGTATTCCAAAGATTAGAACAAAGTGGATTTCATGTAAATATCAATAAATGTGATTTTTTCAAAGAGAAGCTAGACTTGTTAGGATTTGTTATTAACAAGGAGGGATTACACAAATCAGAAACAAAAGTGAAAGCAATGACAAATGCACCGGTACCGCGAAATAAGAAACAATTAGAATCTTTTATCGGATTGATTACTTATTATGCGAGATTTCTACCTAATAGAGCAGAAAAGTTACAACCTTTATATAAATGTGCTAAAGCGGAAACGTTTAAATGGACGGTAGAATGTCAAAAAGCAGTTGATTGGGTCAAAATGGAATTAATATCACCTCGAGTATTGGCACACTACGATCCGAAAGAAGATTTAGTATTGTCATGTGATGCGTCCACGTATGGATTAGGAGCAATTTTAGCGCACCGATATAAAGATGGTACGGAGAAACCAATAGCTTATGCATCTAAAGTAATACCGGAAAAAGAATTAAATCGCGCAATCATTGATAAGGAAGCCAGTGCAATCGTATTTGGATTTAAAAAGTTCTACAACTATATTTACGGAACAACTACACTAACGTTACGGACAGATCACAAACCTTTGGTTTTTATCTTTGGTCCAAAGCAAGAAATTCCTTTGACGGTAGCAAGTAGATTACAAAGATGGGCGTATTTTCTATCGAGATTTACATACACCATAGAGTACGTTACATCGCAGGAAAATAGAAACTGTGATGCACTGTCGAGACTTCCGATTAACGATAGCATTCAGATATTTGATAATGAATTTACAATGATAAATTATGTTTCAGAAGCTTTAGATACATTAAACGCGAAAAAAATTGCAAAAGAAACAAAGAAGGATAAGCTATTGAGTAACGTTATTAAGTATATAAGCGGTACATGGCCAGCGGTAAGCGAGATGAATGAGGATGAGAATAAATTCTATGCGAAACGGGATGAATTGAATGTCGAAAAAGAGTGCTTACTGTGGGGATATCGCATAGTGGTACCAGAAGCAGTAAAACCCAGTGTTCTAAGTGAATTGCACGCGTCACATTTTGGGGTGGTAAAAATGAAAATGTTGGCAAGAAACTATGTGTGGTGGCCAAACATTGATAAAGACATTGAGAATGTAGCAACGGCATGTAAAGTGTGCGTGCAAGAGAGAAAGAAACCGCCTAATGTTCCGCTAACGCCATGGCCGTATCCCGATAAGTGCTGGAGTAGGATACATACTGATTTCCTAGGTCCTGTTCATGGACATATGTTCATGGTAGTAATGGATGCGTATTCGAAATGGCCAGAAGTTATCGATATGAACAAATGCACCACGGCAGAGAGGGTCATTGAGGAGTTTAAGAAAATTATAGTTAGGTACGGATTACCGAAGCATGTAGTAACTGATAACGGCACACAATTCACGAGTAACGAATTTCGAGAATTTTGTAAAGCGAACGGTATCAAGCAGAGTTTCACAGCACCGCATCATCCAGCAACAAATGGTGCAGCTGAAAACTTTGTCGGTACTTTCAAAGATAAAGTCAATAAAATAATGCAAGGCGGGAAATCATTAGAATATGCAGTTAATCTATTTTTGTTTGACTATAGATCCATTGAGCATTGCACTACAGGCAGATCACCGGCGTTCATGATGTTTAAACGAGAAATAAGAACGCGCTTTGAGTTAATGAAACCGAGTGTAATCGATGATGTAGAGAAACAACAGAGAGCGCAAATCATAAGTAGACGCGGTAATCGAAATGTTGAGTTCCAAACAGGTGACATGGTAATGGTTGAGGATTTTGGTGTCAGAAGTAAAAAACGGGTCGTAGGCACGATCGAAGAAAAAGTATCACCGGTAACGTTTAGGGTGAAGGTTGCACCTGATAAGCTATGGAAACGACATGTCGATCAAATCATTAGATACACACCGACGGTGGTCGATAACGATAAAGGTACAGCGGTACCAGCAAGCGAATCTCGAGTGAAGCTACGCCGCTCGGAAAGAACAAGTAAAGGGGGCGAGTTGTAATGTATTAGGATACGGTACTGGGAGCGAGCAGCGGCGCGACGGCACGAGTGGAAATGACTGATCCGCACTCGATATAGAAGTAAGTCAGTCGAGCGTGGCGAGCGTCACGGACGCACGCGGGTACATACATATATCTGTATAACTTTTACTCAGCATTAAAATATCTTACGGTGATTGCGAAGCGGAATTGGTCATCAATTGTTAATGAGCCACCTCACCCGATACACTACAAGCATCATGACAAATAAGTATATTACGCTTGAAATAAAATTGTGTACAACAAGATATGCACAATGCATATAAATTCGATATCGTTTCGCGACGAGTTTTATTTGATATGATTAAAGTTGTTCGATTATCTAAACGAGATAAAGAGATACAAAGTAAACGTGACTTCAAATTCTGTATCAATCATTACATAATTTTCGATAGTTAAATAATGATAGACATCGGATAGTAGATGTAGATTCCACAGAAATAATTAGTTGACTTGCATCATACTATGATCGTGAATTGTGTTATCTATTTGGTATTACCGAGAGATATATTATTAATAAATTGTGAAGAGACTTTATCCTTCAGAACAGAGAGTCACGACTTTGGCGCCAGTGTGAAGTATGTACATTTCAATGTCAATGGAATTCCAGTGACGTGCCGAAACAATATATCAATTAGTGCTCTATTAGTCTTTTTAATTTATACTAATATTACAAATAAAATTCTTACCATTTGATTTGATAGACATACTCTTATTAGCATTAATATGCATAAAAATATTATAACAATTAGAAATTTAGAAAATGTATTTCAAATTGATTTCTTTCTTTTAATATCAAAGAAATATTTCTTTTTATTTTATTTAAAAAAACTGCTTAAAAAAAGATTTTTAGATATATGCGTTGGCAAAAATTAAAAATAAGAATCCAGAACTAAATATTTTGTTTAATATTTTTTTTTTTTGAACATTTTTATATGTTAATATTATTTTCAGATATTATAGTCGGATACGTCAAATGAAAATAATTTGTTAATATCATGTTTAAAAAATATACATGTATCTTCGATGAAAGAATTATAAATTTTATTAGTCTTCTTTGTATATTTATATAATAATAAAGATATAAGAGAAAAAGATTCTATAATGAAATAACTAGTATACAAAGGATCAAGACTTTGTTTATCAGCTACCAAGAAACTTGCGCATTAGTTTTATTCACGTGATTATCATGTTCGCATTTCAAGTTCTCTTTTAATCTCAGCCAGTGTTTTGCTGTCAGAATAAATTATCATCATTATTATCATATTCGATTGTCGATAGATGGATAATAGATGACATGTGATGTGCACATCTTAAATAAAAAAAAATTTTTAAATAGAAAAGCTTTTTATATGTCTGAACGGAAGTTCGCATACACAAATTTTGAACTTTTTCGCGGAAATCGTGACATCATACGGAATGTCCGTGTTGCCGCGAAATAACAATTCAAATCATTTATAAGAACACGTTTGACCGGTTATACGAGCATCATCGACGCCAAGAGTGTGAAAAAGAGAAGTCATTCGGGTTATCCCACGTGTATCTGAATATAAGATTCCTCTTCACGTCGAAAGTAGGTGAAATATAACAAAAAGGGTATGCAATGCGCGTATAAAAGAACTTATGTTTAAATAATGTTACCTTACTTTGCATATTTTATGCTAAAAAGGAATAATTTTGAAAGAAACATTTTTAGTTTTTCATTATTGTATAATAACAAAAATTATTATTATACTTGCGTGTCAAAAAACCTAATGTCCTTTTAAAATTTCACCTTGTTTTTATCAAGTATAAATTAGATATTACTATCCCATTTCATATTGCGAAAACAAAATTTCTCTTTTCCATATTCCAATATCATTATCACGATGTTCTAATAGCAACAGCATCAAGACATACCGCATTCGACATCACTTCCAGACTCATATTGCTCCGTTCAGTCTTCGAATATATTTGGCCAAGAGAAATCACTATCTTCACAACGTTCTTCCGCGAATGCAATACGTCACGGTTATTTTTGGCGGGCTCGATGATATCTTTCGCACAAGAGATGCTGCGTTTTACCGCGTTTCGGACACGGTGTGCGGAACGATAGAGTCACGTGTGCATTATATAGTAACGTAAATTCGAAATCATCAAGATTATATATTCGCAGATCGATTCACCATTAATTTGCAGTGGACACGAATTTAACGTTTACCGTATCGGGAGATCCGATAATTTCGACGGTATATTCGCTTTTTTAGCCGCACATTGGAGAAAGAGAATTTGCCGGATGAAAGTAAAAATCACCAAACGGTCTTTCACACTGTTACATTCCCGTTGTGATTTATACACTCGCGATCGCAAGACTGACGATTGCGCGACGACGATGTAATCAACAGCGGCGAGTTCGACGGCGGCGGCGGCGACGTCCGACGAAGACAGATTGCTCTACGCGCGCGTCACGATGATAACGATGAGTACGTTGTAAGCAACCGATTCGCACCACTCGTGTCGCGAATCATGAAAAACCTCACCACGGATAGATTGCCTGTATGAAGTTAGCCCCCCATTTTTCGAATTTTAAAATTTTAAAGGTTGTTCCAGGTTGTTCTAGACTTGTTCTAAATTGTTCCAAAAGATCAAATTTAAAAAATAAAAATTTTCGCGAAAAATGGAAAAAAACGATTTTTTGACCTGGCCCCCCATTTTTCGAAAATCGAACTTTTAAAGGTTGTTCCAGATTGTTCTAGTTGTTCTAAACATTGTTCCAAAGTGATAATTCCCTAAACAAAATATTTCACGAGATATAATAAAAAAATAGTTTCGTGCGCTAAAACAGTATTTTTACGTTTTCGGCTATAGTTATTATCTCTTAAACACCAAACTGTATATTTTAGCTAAAAACGAACAGAACAACCTGGAACAACTCTCAATTTTGCTAGAACATAATTTTAAAGAGTACTTTACTCTTGGAAATAAACATATTTTTGTTGTTTTTTCGTGTTTTTCGACCGATAACGACGTGACAGCGATCCCAAACTATAGAACAATTACGTACTGGCATAGAACAACTTGGAACAACTCTCAGTTTTGCTAGAACATTATTTTAAAGGGTACTTTACTCTTGGAAATAAACACATTTTTTTTGTTTTTTCATCTTTTTTGCCCGCTAAAGTCGCGATAGCGGTCCCAAACTATAGAACAATTACGTACTGGCATAGAACAACTTGGAACAACTCTCAGTTTTGCTGGAACATTATTTTAAAGAGTACTTTACTCTTGGAAATAAACACATTTTTTTGTTTTTTCATCTTTTTGCCCGCTAAAGTCGCGATAGCGGTCCCAAACTATAGAACAATTACGTACTGGCATAGAACAACTTGGAACAACTCTCAGTTTTGCTAGAACATTATTTTAAAGAGTACTTTACTCTTGGAAATAAACACATTTTTTTTGTTTTTTCATCTTTTTTGCTCGCTAAAGTCGCGATAGCGGTCCCAAACTATAGAACAATTACGTACTGGCATAGAACAACTTGGAACAACTCTCAATTTTGCTAGAACATAATTTTAAAGAGTACTTTACTCTTGGAAATAAACACATTTTTCTTGTTTTTTTGTGTTTTTCGACCGATAACGTCGCGACAGCGGTCCCAAACTATAGAACAATTACGTACTGGCATAGAACAACTTGGAACAACTCTCAGTTTTGCTAGAACATTATTTTAAAGAGTACTTTACTCTTGGAAATAAACACATGTTTTTTGTTTTTTCATCTTTTTGCTCGCTAAAGTCGCGATAGCGGTCCCAAACTATAGAACAATTACGTACTGGCATAGAACAACTTGGAACAACTCTCAATTTTGCTAGAACATAATTTTAAAGAGTACTTTACTCTTGGAAATAAACATGTTCTAGTAAAATTGAGAGTTGTTCCAAGTTGTTCTATGCCAGTACGTAACTGTTCTATAGTTTACAATCGCTGTCGCGACTTTAGCGGGCGAAAAAGATGAAAAAACAAAAAAAAATGTGTTCATTTCCAAGAGTAAAGTACCCTTTAAAATGATGTTTTAGCAAAACTGAGAGTTGTTCAAGTTGTTCTATGCCAGTACGTAATTGTTCTATAGTTTGGGACCGCTGTCGCGACGTTATCGGTCGAAAAACACAAAAAAACAAGAAAAATGTGTTTATTTCCAAGAGTAAAGTACTCTTTAAAATTATGTTCTAGCAAAATTGAGAGTTGTTCCAAGTTGTTCTATGCCAGTACGTAATTGTTCTATAGTTTGGGACCGCTATCGCGACTTTAGCGAGCAAAAAAGATGAAAAAACAAAAAAAATGTGTTTATTTCCAAGAGTAAAGTACCCTTTAAAATAATGTTCTAGCAAAACTGAGAGTTGTTCCAAGTTGTTCTATGCCAGTACGTAATTGTTCTATAGTTTGGGACCGCTGTCGCGACGTTATCGGTCGAAAAACACAAAAAAACAAGAAAAATGTGTTTATTTCCAAGAGTAAAGTACTCTTTAAAATTATGTTCTAGCAAAATTGAGAGTTGTTCCAAGTTGTTCTATGCCAGTACGTAATTGTTCTATAGTTTGGGACCGCTATCGCGACTTTAGCGAGCAAAAAAGATGAAAAAACAAAAAAAATGTGTTTATTTCCAAGAGTAAAGTACTCTTTAAAATAATGTTCTAGCAAAACTGAGAGTTGTTCCAAGTTGTTCTATGCCAGTACGTAATTGTTCTATAGTTTGGGACCGCTATCGCGACTTTAGCGGGCAAAAAAGATGAAAAAACAAAAAAATGTGTTTATTTCCAAGAGTAAAGTACTCTTTAAAATTATGTTCTAGCAAAATTGAGAGTTGTTCCAAGTTGTTCTATGCCAGTACGTAATTGTTCTATAGTTTGGGACCGCTATCGCGACTTTAGCGAGCAAAAAAGATGAAAAAACAAAAAAAATGTGTTTATTTCCAAGAGTAAAGTACTCTTTAAAATAATGTTCTAGCAAAACTGAGAGTTGTTCCAAGTTGTTCTATGCCAGTACGTAATTGTTCTATAGTTTGGGACCGCTATCGCGACTTTAGCGGGCAAAAAAGATGAAAAAACAAAAAAAATGTGTTTATTTCCAAGAGTAAAGTACTCTTTAAAATAATGTTCCAGCAAAACTGAGAGTTGTTCCAAGTTGTTCTATGCCAGTACGTAATTGTTCTATAGTTTGGGACCGCTGTCGCGACGTTATCGGTCGAAAAACACAAAAAAACAAGAAAAATGTGTTTATTTCCAAGAGTAAAGTACTCTTTAAAATTATGTTCTAGCAAAATTGAGAGTTGTTCCAAGTTGTTCTATGCCAGTACGTAATTGTTCTATAGTTTGGGACCGCTATCGCGACTTTAGCGAGCAAAAAAGATGAAAAAACAAAAAAATGTGTTTATTTCCAAGAGTAAAGTACTCTTTAAAATAATGTTCCAGCAAAACTGAGAGTTGTTCCAAGTTGTTCTATGCCAGTACGTAATTGTTCTATAGTTTGGGACCGCTATCGCGACTTTAGCGGGCAAAAAAGATGAAAAAACAAAAAAAATGTGTTTATTTCCAAGAGTAAAGTACCCTTTAAAATAATGTTCTAGCAAAACTGAGAGTTGTTCCAAGTTGTTCTATGCCAGTACGTAATTGTTCTATAGTTTGGGATCGCTGTCACGTCGTTATCGGTCGAAAAAC